AAATAAAGAATTTTACAGTTTTTATATTTATTTGGAATAAGATATTTTTTATAATTATATATTTATTTAATATAATTACACTTTAATATAATTAAAAATAAAAATTATTTTTATTATTATATAAAAAATTGTTAATATGTTTTTTCAAATGTGCTCTCTATTATATAGGATATTTCAAAAATATGAAAACATCCGTTAATTGAACATTCTTGAGATAATTTTAAGTAACATTTTCGTTTAAAAAAACTTTCATTATAATTTTTTTAACAAAAAAAAATTATTAACAAAAATACTGACCAATCACGGAGCCTAATCAAATTGTGATAACATTGATTTTATATGTCGTCAATTTGAGCAATATATATCAAAAAGTATATTAAAATATAACAAATATAATAAATAAATATAACATATTAATTATGACATTATAATTGATAAAATATAACTAATATTTTTTATCAATAGAAAATTATATCGAATTCTATGACAATCAATAAATGAATAAATGATAATATTCAACGCATTTTTTCGATATATGTTGCTTGGACTTGTAGTCAACTGGATCGAAGCATAGTCAATCGTTGAGTTATATGTTCCGTGATTGATCAATATTTATTGTTAATAACTCATTAACAAAGCAATAACGAAAATTTTTACAAAGGAAAATATTTGAAATTACTTCACGAATCTCCAATTAACGGATATTTCCACATTTTTGACATTTATATTTTTTCTGTTAATTATTATTTTCAATTTTATTTTTAAAATAGTTAAATTATTTTAACAATATAAAAATTGTTATAGAATTAATTGTAGAATTACAAAATAAATTAAATGAATTATGAATTATGAAATGATATGTACTATAATATATAACAATTGAATTTTAGTATTATTATAACAAAGTATTATTTATACTTATATGAATTTAAAAGTTTGATTGTTTCAATGGATTCAATACGTATATTTTATTGGCTGAAAGTATTATATTTACAATATTATATAAATTGCATGTTATGAACTAAATAAAATAGCTTTATTATAAAACATGCAAAGCATTAAAACTTTTTTAATGCTTTCCATTATAATATAATTTTCTTTAATTAAAATAATATATTAAAATAATATATTATATTATTTATTATTTCTTAATCTTTTTTACATTAATTTTTAATATAATTTTAATGTTAATAATTAATTTTTTAATATAAATGTTATTAATTTTATTAATGTTTTAATTTAATATAAATGTTATTAATTATAACATTTATAAATTATATATAGAGGATTTTTCTTTTATTAATTTGTTAATAAATTAATTTTTTAATATATAATCTTAAGAAAATAGTAAATTCTTACAATCAAATTATATTCATTCAAAATTTTAGATTAACAGCAACAAATTATTATAGATTCAGTTAATGATACAAAAACTATTACATTTTGATTTTTAATTTATTTAAAAAATACTTTTATTAGCAATATTAAAAATTCTTATTTATAATATAAATAAAAATATATTCAAAGTTAGTAAAGATAGATTAAGAAAATTAGAATGTTTAAATTAAAATAATGTCGATATTGATTGAAAAAAAAATAATGCAGAAAATTTTTCTTTTGAAAATGATATGACAATAATTTTTTTTTAAATAAAAAATGTAATATATATTACCAAAATAAATTAAATTAATGTACATATACATATATATGTATATTATGATATTAATGATGTTAAATTGAATTTAAAAATAAATTAACTTATATTTATATTGTTTTTGAAATATAATAATCTTAAATATAATTATTATTACATAATATTATAATCTTAAATATAATATATTAAGTATATTAAAATTCTTACAAAAACTAATTTTTTAAAAAGAAAAAATAATATTACTTTTAGATACTTTTAAAAATATATAAAATATTTTGTGATTTGTAATTTGTGATTTGTATTGCGTTTGAAATTTAATTGTGTAGATAATAATTTTTTGAAATGATAATTATTTAAAATAAAATAAAAATTATATAAAATATGCAAATATGGATATTAGAATATTTATATATTAAAATAAATAAAATTAATAGAAAATAAAAATAAAATTAAAATACAAAATAAAATTTATAGATTCTATAATCAATATTCATTTCAAATTATACCAATTTTGGATTTATTCATAAGAGAATGATAATTCTATCAATATTTTCTTAGAAATATTAGAAAATTCCTTATTTAATTATGTAATTAAATGTATTTTAATTAATTGTGTATTATTTAATTGTGTAATTAAATGTATTTCAAATGAAAATAAAAATTTTCAATTAACAAAAACTGTTATTTTTTTTTATATTTTTGAATGAGAAATAATGATTAAAGAATCTATTATATAGTAATCAATTTAGCATTTAAATATAAAGAATCATTTTTAAATATTTCATTAATCATTATTTGATGTAATTTCATAATATTTCTAAAAATGTTATGCTTTATATTTGTACATACAGTACAGATGTTTTTTATTTATTATAATACCATTATCTTTTTTATTTGTTAAAATTCTAAAGAATATTACATGATATTTTTTTTGTTTTTATAAATTAATTTTTATTAATTTGTAATAAGATATTTTTATTAAAAAATTAAACAATTAAATATCAAACTTAAATATATATATTAATTAAATTTCTTAATAAAATATAAAATAACTATTTCTAAAAAACAATCATTATTACCTATGATTTTTTTATCTTTATAATTTTGAACATTTTTAATTTCATTATTAATATTTTTAACTTTTGTTTTCATTGGATTTTTATATATTTTACTATACATTTTTATTATATTTTTATTAATTCTATTATTTTTTATTTTTATTATTTAAATTTATTTAAATTTTTATTTTTTAAAAAATTTTCAAAGTTTACTTGAAAATCTTCAACAAAGTTATCTTTTTTGATTTTTCTTATTGAATATTATTTGATTTCATGTCATTATCAATAATAAGAATATGATTTTTTAATAGATCTCTGCAAATGTAATAAATATATATTAAATTATTATTTTAATCTT